AAATTAAAAAAAAAATTATTTATTTTTTTCCTCCAGACTAATTTCCTCCTCATCCAGAATATTCTGGCCATTCTTCTTAATTGAAATGTTTCATTTCCTCTCTTTGGAGATGCAAAAGTCTTTATGAGACCAGATGTCATTTCATGCACTTGACTAACAATAACAATATTTCATTCCCACAAATGTTAAGATGTTCCGTAATTTTTCTTCTACTTGGTACTCAGTTCACATTTTCAGATTTAAGCAGCCTCTCCCTTGAAATGTCTATTCTAACTCATTTTGGATATTAGCATGCAGAGTAACGTGCACAGCTTTTTCACTGGCTCATAATTGCATACATAATGAAAAATTTAACAACAGTGACAACTGGTTTGACCCCAACAGTTTCCATTTAGGGACACTGCAACAGTTTAGCACTAGTTCTAAGTTTTCAGTTTGCCATTTTTATATTTAAAAGCAATTAAGAAACTCTTTGCCTAGCCTTTTGCCATCAAGTTCCATGTCTTCCAAAGATGTTACACTGATGATGTAATCCATGTTTAAATATACACAGCATGCTTAGCTGAGACTTTAGGAGGAAAAAAAAACCTCATCTAACAATCTCTTCTCCCATACTGCAACTCAGAAGAAACCAGATGTCTGACAACTGCCCCGTTCACACGACAATTCTTGCAGACTGTATAACCAAGGCTTTAGGTACCATTAAGAGGAAGTAGCTGATCATCAATTTCTCTGGATGAACAAGAGTTTAAAAATAAAAAAAAAAAAAGTTGTGAAAAGAGATATGCCTGGATTTCTTTACATAAGACAATTACCATAGGTGGCCATTAACCTGCTTACCTACCCTTGCTTAGTTTTTTAAAAATAAGCTCATCTTTCTCTGCTTCATCTTTCTCCTCCCTCATCCATTCTCTTCCCAGACTGCAGCAATAACATGTTTTTATTCTTTCCTTTTGACTGCCAGGGACTTAAACTAATTATTAATTGAGAATGTATCTAAAGGATCTGAATGAGAAAGTTGGAATTAACCCAATTGCCTCTTTCCTCCTTTTATTTTGCATACTGTAACACTAGATCTACCTGTTAGTACTGCTGAAAACAGAAAATGTGTTATTTCCCTTTCAAAGGCAAGTTTTTTCTAGTTTGCCCAAGCTGCTTGGGCAAAAACACGTAACAACGAAAAACAATGTGGAAAAAGGCAAGTACTTGGAAAAGGCCTCAGCTTTGAGTGACAGCCATTAGCAGCCAAACTGCCCACAGATAAAATTCTCTCAACAACTTTGCTGTCCTGTAGGAAAATCCTGCAGCAGAGGGCATCCTGCATTTGGGAAATCAGACAACTGACACTTCATCAAAAGACTTGTCCTTTAAAGAGGCTAGAAAGGCATGACCTTACACTGCCTGCTTGTGCAGAGCTGGCTGGTTGTACAACATCGTCTCATCTTGTTTCCAGTTGTTAAATTACATTAAAGGACAGCTAAAAATATATTAAATATTTTCCTATTACTTTTCCACGCAAGCAACTGCTGTAGTTACAACAACAGCACTGACCAAGCAAAGACTTAGTAACATGGGAGGGGGGTGAAGGGGAAGGTCCAGGAATCCTTCTAACACATTCCAGATGAATAATGCAACATTTTCATTGCAAATGCAGAAATATATTTTTAATAATTTGCTGTAAGAACGAAAACTGATTAATTTATAATGATCAAAACAGGAAAACTGACATTTTCCAAAAAGGTCAAACAGATCTGAGCTATAATTTTAACTCCCTCCCGCCCTCAATTTTTGCCCTTTTTTTTTCTTCCAAAATTTCAGACTGGTATGCCCTGTCTTCCCTGCTAGAGATTACTCACAAATTAAAAAAATAAAGAAGGAAGATCCGTTGGAAAAACCTGACAGCGTTTAAAACACTACGATAAAAATGAAAGTCTTAATTGATTAATGATCTCAAAGTCTCTATCGCCATCTAGTGAAAACTCACCACCATTACTGCACCACCCACAGAAATCGCACCTCCTTCACCGGAATCCCGCACGCCAGCCTCTCTGCTGGATCCAGAGATCCATGGACAGAGCTGCAAGGCTTCGCTACATTGCGACTGCACACCTTAAAGGAAGCAGAAGTCAAGCACTAGCTCCTATCTCACCAAGGCTGACTGAAGAGAACTGAGCTCTTACGGATTACACTCCGTCCTAGCACCATCGTCTGGCTTTATAAATGGCTTTTCCACATCATACTTCACATTTCTGCCATCAAAATGAAGTGGACATGTCAACACTAGCATAGCTATAAACACAGTTTTTAAATGGTAATGTGTAATTACAAGAATTTTTAGTCAACACAAGACAGCTCCACTATTTTTAGTGCACTGACATCCCCAAACCACAAAGAGAAGTTCCAGTCCAGGAAAGGTAGGGCGAAACACTCGGCCATCAGACACCTGCAGCACTCAGTCTCCCTACAGCTTCAGTGAAAGGGTCTTCAGTCACACAATCAGGAAGCAGCAGTTTATGGAAGTCATCAAAACTCATTCTCTCTCAGCTATGTTAAAACTTAACACTACAATGAGCTTCAAGGACTTCTTCAACTTGAAATAAATACTTCCCACATTCAATTATTCTGCTAAGACTTACGACTGAACTGTAATTGTGTTAGTCCAAATATTAAGTTCAGTTTTCATCCCACACAGTATTTTTCCCCGCTTAGACATCTATAAGCTGACCTACGTTTACTCAGGTTCCTCCAAACAATTAAAAAAAAAAGTAACCATTACTGATTATCAAAAAAGGCCATTTAAATTTAGACCAACAGCATTTTTCCATAATAGTTATTTTTTATTAACCTTTTCATATAGAGAACCCAAATCTCCTGATTTACGTCTTTTATATTAGCATTTAGTGGCAAGAGGAAACCTATGAATAGAAAGACTAAACCATTTTAAAGTAGTATTTTTCCAGATTAAATATTTAAATTTTAAAAACCTAGAAAATTAAAGTGTCCTCTTCTGTCATCTGTTATGGCAAAACCTAGTGCTCAAGAAATAAGGAACTAACAAACTTGTATGTTTATTGACTATCTACCTAAAAATGCAAGTTTTCAGAAAAGAGCCTATACAGTGTATTTCATTCAATTCTATCATAATTGCACAGAAGCACAAAATTACAGTTCATCCTGAAAAACTCCCAGATTTTCAAAAGTTTGTTATCTCCACAGTATCCAGAGTGACAAATAGTAATCTGCCTCAAAGCATGGGGAAAAAAAGAGTTTTAGCTTTACAGGAGGTGCTGTACCGCATGGAAGAGACCCACCAAGGCAGAAATGTCCCACTGAGCTCAGCACTAGCACGGCTGCAGACCAGCTTCTGCCTGGCAGGAGCAAGCCCAGGTCTAGCACCACCAGAATTGAGGATGTAAGAAATCTTTTCCAACCAAAATTCAGCTGAAGTGTCTCAAAGTGCTCCCTGGTACATCCTGTACCACCTATTTAGGATTTTCCTATTCCAGCATCACTTTGGAACATAATACAGGAACACCAGAATTTCATGTACCGTTATCCCATAACTGATAAATTACAGACAACTGAGAGTAAACTGTATGTAAAACCAGAAAGTATTTCCCCCCATTAACAGAGGTCAAAAGCTCAAGTATCCATTACAATACACAGTTTGTGACAGGTGCTCCATATGACTAATGGAGATCATTAAAAAAAAAAAAAAAGGGAAAGAAAAAAAAGTCAAATTAATTACTTGTAAAATACTGCTAGAAAATATAAAGCTATGGTATACTCAGCTGCTTTTCATGCCAGTTTTGTACATAAATGCATGAGAATCTTACAAAAGCAACAACAGCAAAAAATACCACTTCCTTAAAGGAAACATTAACTTTTGAATTCACATAGCGAATTTACAGTTATCAAATCTGGAAGTTATTTCTTAGTTAAACATTTGTGCAAGGTTGAACATACTGGTTACAAAAATTTGGAGGACAGCAAATGTGGGGTTGTCTCTAGAGAACTTTTTAGAGGGGAAGACTTTTAAAAACTAAGATGTGTTATCAGAAACAAAACTCCCCCACATACATCAGCTGGGGGTTGTACATGGACCTTCAGTGCACTGGGTAGTCCACAGCAAGGAGAGCTGTGCCCTCACACCACAGGGAGTATGTGCCTCTAAACAAAGATGTGAACTCATCCACCTCCTTTCTGAACTAAAAGGTTGACCAGCCATTCCTGCCATATCTATTCCTGGCACCTTTGCAGATACCTGCCTGGTATTCTCTTCTATAAAGAACTAATATGATGAAGCATCATAAAAAAGAAGTGTTTTATGACACTGTATATCAGTGGTATGTTTTGGATCTTTAATTTTTTTTTCCCCCTCACTGGGGCCAAACTGATGTTGTCTGCATTCAGCTGCCATCCTAATCAACAGTGAGACTAGTTTTGCCAATAAAATTAAGAGCAACTCTTAAAATAATTTTTTAAAAAGCTTCATTTTAAGGAACAAACAAACAGTTTCTGAAAATAAGACCCTGACACATAATCCATTGTCACCATGTGCTTAATTAGCCCATAAACTTCAGGAACTCACCATACCAGGGCACAGGACAGTCTGGCCAAAGACAAGTTCATCCAAAGCTGAAGCATACCACCAAATCAAAGACTAACCCATCAAGCAGAACTGGAAATTCATTGACAATGTGAAAGCAGGCTTGATTATTTTGTCACCATAATCTGGCTCATTGAAACGTAAAGCATTTAATTCAAAATAAGGCTCTAGCTAGACCTTCAACTTGTCATCCTTTGAGACATTTATCTGATTCTTTTCTAAACACCAGTTTCATTTTTTTCCTGATTTCTGCCAGTACAAGAAGGATAACAACTACAGTTCTGAAACCAAAAGCAGGTTTGAAAACAAGACCATTCTCCTATTCGATGAAGAAGTCGGTGTCTTAAATTCACCCTTTTTGCATGTGTTTATAACCTGATTAATGACTTACCTCTCTCCCTTTATGCGTTACCAAAGCAGCCAAAGGTTTGGCATAGAATCTGCTGTAGGAAAATCCCAGGCAGCCATACATACTGTTAGCAGTGAGTTTCAAGGCTTTCTGTCTGATATCATACTGAAAAGAAACACAACCAGCAAAAATGATACAACCATAGCCAAGAGAGAACAGAACTCAGTGTTCACAATTACATTCACAGCTTTTTATATAGTCTGCAGCAACGATGGGCTAAAAGTAAAGCACATTACAATCACTGCTCACTACTAATCATCCCTATTCTGCAAGGCTGATCAGGGCACTTAAGGGGAGTGGGAGGAAAATCAAAGGAGTTCTGTAAAACACACCTGTAAATAAAGGTCAGGATTTAAATCTGGCTGTTTCATTAACTGCTTAACTTGGCGCCTTCTCTCCACCAGTTTCCTGATTTCTTTAGGCAAAACTCCCATTTCCAGAGATGGGTCCGGAAGCTCTGGAATTTCTTCCTCTTCTTCAACCTGTCAAATAATCACCACTTCTTATCATCTTTTTGCTTGAAGATTAGATTTTAATGTATTAAGTGAAAAGCTTGGGAAGAGAAAAACAGAACCATGCAGCTTCTATCTGTTCCTGCAGAGAATCCAAAGCACAGTTTAGAACAACAAGCTTGAAAGGTTTATTGTGGTATTTAACTATATATCGTGTAGTCCCTGTTGGGGGGCACATGGACTAAGCCTGCATCTGTCTGGGAGAAACCCAAGACAGACATGGACCAGTAGCAGCAAGATTTTATTTTTTTTTTAAATGTACGTGTGTGTATTTTTAATATATATAAACATAGATATAAGTAAATAAATATATATATAAATTGAGATACACACCCACACTCTTAGGTGCATATATAGATAGATATAAAAATATAAAGAAAAGCACACACATGTGCGATTCTTTCTGTGCTGAAAAAATCCTTCCTTTTTGTTATTACATAAGTATGTTTGGTTTCAGAACTGTAAAATGGAGTACACCCTCTGGGGAACTGATACTTTGAATAAAATAACTGACAGAAGAGAAATCAACAGTAACAACAGGATGAAAACTCCACCCCAAGCAACTCTTGATTATAAAACAACCTAACAGAAAGCACATATTCTTCTTGTTAAGTGTAAACGAAGAAATGGTTGCTCGGCAAAAATGGAAAGAAATTTCAAGCACAATGAAAGAGAAATATACAAGAAAGGGCAATAGAGACACTATGAGGTTGGCAAGTTTAGTAAAACAGTCTGGAGAGAATTGTAACAAGAAATGACACCAAAACCTGATTAAATATCATACTGTGATAGAAATCAAAGTGAGCTGCTTCAGTTTGAAGCACACTTAAGGAAGTAGGGTAAATCCACATAGAGTTTAGAGGAACTTACTGACATAGTTCCACATACTTTTTTCCTCTTTTCAGCTATGGTACTGATATTTCAGTTATTATGGGACTAACTGTGTCCTGTAACTACTTATGCACAACACATTAATTCCAGTCTGTGAGCTGATACCAGTTAAAAATAAAAGCCTGAGGTTTAACCTTTAGACCTGACCAGCTTCACTGCTTCAGTTTACAGCACAGCTCCACCACCAAGTGTGCCAGCACAGCTAAGGAAATGAGAAAAAGCAGCCACAGATAAGCCATGGGCAACACAGCTGCTGAGAAAACAGTACGTGGAACTACACCTTCAGGAGGTTTTTCAGTTGTGTTTAATACCATTTAACACTGTATTAAACAACACAAATTTTCATGAAGCTGGTCCCACAGCTGACAGTCACTGCATCACTCCCTGACACACATTCCAAGACACACACATAGCTTTCCTATAACTCAGCCTTGTAAGAGTTGAGCTCATATTGCATTCTTTCCCCCAGGTAGAAGCATGAGACTTGGGTCTCTCTCATACAGGTGTTTGCATTAATTCTGTGGCGATTTAACTTTAGGAAGCCTCTACCAAATAAGGATTACATTGGTCAAGGAGCTCAGAAATAGCTAGGAGGACCTGGGGCTGAAAAGGAATAACAAAGACTCACTAAAAATCTTGTTTCATGAGGATACCAAGATTTTATTCACATGGGAGAGAACTTATCAAGATTTTAAGAGTATTACCAAAAGGAAAATGACAGACATATAATACTCAAAAAGTCCCAAACCAAATCTTACTATGATGCATCTTTAAACAAGAATCACTTTTAGAAGTATGAGAGAGGAAAAAAAAAAAAATTAAACCATGAAAAACAATAGTTTATTTGATTCACAGAAAACACCCTGAAGTTAAGACAGTGTAAATTAAGTCACAAGTTAAAGTGCACAAACCTCTGCCCTTTTGTGTGCTTCTGATGACAGTCGCTGTACTGTGGTAAAGCAGATGTTAAACTCCTGGATAATCGATGGGTACAAGCTGTTGAAGTCGAGAAGCAAAATAAACTTGTCATAAAAACCTAAAACAGAGTTTAAAACAAAAGTCATAATTACTCAGTCTCCCTAAGGATTTCATCCAACTCCACAATTAATATTTAAGTGACATTAATACACTGTACCACATTTCCCTTAAAGCAGCTGTTGAGAAGCACCACTACCCATTATAGAAAGCTGTCAGAAGTGGAACGATCCAACCCCATTAACTCACCAGAGTTGAACAGATAGCTTCTGTGTTACTGTAGGACACTTGTACAGTTTTCCCCACATAGAGGAGAAACTGAAAGAAAACTTACGTGTCCATTAGAAAAACTATACACAGATACACAGCCCTAATTAATCACAAAACATAATCTTCTCACGAAGAGATAAGAAAAAAATGCCCCAAGAATAAGTAATTCCACAATCAATGTTGGGAATTTTCTTGTGTGCAACAATGCCCTCCCTCCAAACCACCACACCAAACTCCTACAAGAGACACAGAAGGCACCCATTGCAATCTATCTGCATTAACATAACCTACCTGTCTCTAACTTCACAGAAGAAAGAAAATTGCCACATCTTACCGACTTTGGGATCCAAGACTAAGCCCCCAGCATATGCTGCTTTCTTTTTCCCTATCTTTGATTTATTCTGATCTTCAAAATCTTCATCTTCATCCACCTACATTTGGCATTTAAACAAGTCATTATGTAGACTCCTAGATTTCTATACTGTTGGAGAAGTTATTTTTGGCAAATCAAATATGAAATTAAGAGCCAATGCATAGAGTTCCTTTTAAAACATATGCAAATCATGGTGTTTTCATAATGATCCTTATTAAAGCTCTCTACATGTCAAAACAGCATTCAAACCAACTCCTATAGTAACAAACTGCTAACAAGAAATTACAAAGACCTTAAAGAATTGGAATCATTCAACATAGCAGTAGCATGCACTTTCTGGATGGCTGTAAAAGTCAATAAATACTAGGGAAAAAAAAAAAAATCAACTAGTGACCCAGAAAAGGTATTACTGCCCAACTAAAATGTAGTTTCTGGAAATAAAATAGCTGGGCTTTAAAGAAACAAATAAAAGCATTATTACTGACCTAAAGAGTATTTTGCTATTTATTGTAGTAATTTTTTTTCTCCCAGTTGTGCAATGCTACTCTGAATTATTTAAAATCCCAGCTTTGATGCAATAAAATCAACAGAATTTATTGCTTTGGAATTTGCTGTTGAACTTATTTAAACATAAAACTAAAAAGCAAAATACAGTGAAATGCAAAGACATTCTAAAATTCTGTTTACTAAAAATATCTAGATGTTTCTATAAATATATTTACACTGGTATTATCCAAAGGATTTTTCTTTTTAATAGCGTTGGATATTTTACCCATATTCTCAAATCACCCACTTTACAAATTATACTTTAAATCCTGTTCATTAGCAAAATAATTGTGGGGCAAATGTGCATCTATTAAGCAACACAGACTATCTTCTTCTCTACTA